ATCTCACGCTTATAGCACGTGCGCCCACTGTGGCTCATCTGGTCGCAGTTTCCTCCCTTGATCCTTCAATCAATTCGCGAATTTTGCAATTTTCTACCGAGATAGCCGCGTCTCTTTACTCAGATCCGGATGTACATTTATCCCGGACGCGGTGCGACGGCGCTTACATCGCCCTTGAGTGCAGTTTCGCATACGGGTTATTTCCTACATCTCATCTCGACCGATATTGGTTCAATTCGGTTCCCTCAAGCAATAATATTCATTGGAAAAAATTCGCTTGGATCGCTGGAGTCCAGACTCTTTAGGAATTCGACAAGAAAAAATACACTTGATTCAATCGGATTTTTGCCGGAATTTAAAGGAAATCCGCTTCCTTTAAGAGGCTTGGCTCTCGATTCAAGCAAAAATCCGATTGAATCAAGATTATTTTTACTTCTAAAATTTTTTAAGAGTCCGCACTTTAGATCCAAGAGACTTTTTTTCCCCAGTGTTGCGAGCTTGTTCGAGATATATACATGTATCTCTCGTTATACTTTGGCAACATGAGAGCATATGCACGAGCTTCGGGCGGAAGGATACAGAGCGGTCAATTGGACTAAATATTTTGCAATTAGGAACTACAATTTCTGACTAACTTTTAAATACACGTATGTCTAGAGGAAAACTAATGGTGCGTATGTTGTTTTTAAACTGAGCCGGAAATTCTGGTTCCACATTGCAAAATGCGGTTTGATTGTTCTTCCTATGACATCCCGTAAGATCGGTGGCGCGATATTTTTTTTCTTTTAGTTTTGGCGCCTTTTTAAGTATATTTCTCAGGTATTTTATTCGATAATAAACGAAAAAATTCATAAATTCTTATTTTTCACGTAATTTCCAAAAATGTATTGAAAAAAAATCGCGTTAAAGCTCCATTTGGAGGACACGCGGACTCAGAAAAGCTGTTGCCAGTGTCGGCCTGACTAGAAAATTCTAGGGGTGCTGACTTGTCCAAGCAGCCCCTTCCTCTTGGGCGGGCTCCTTCTACCAGTGGCGTGGCGTGAATGATCGATTATGATATTCCTCCATTTGAAGCTATGCCACAGAATCGATTATTAAGGTGTTCGTTGCGAACACCCTGATTATCGATCCTTTTCCATATAGGTTTAAATGGCAGATAAATCGATACAGCGCAAAGCACGCCACGCCACTGCCCTCTACCTAACCTGAAGTCCTCATTTATGTGGGGTTTTCAAGTTTTGGGGACCCCTACAAGAATCCTGCCGCGGCCCTCTGAGCCACCCATCAGAATTTCTTGGGTGCAGAAGCAGCCTACTCCTTTCCAGACCGCAATTGCATTTGCATTTTGCGATTCCACGTCATAAGCAAAACTTGGAGGGAGCCCCCGGCTCCCCGTACGGAGAAAAAAACTTCGTGCATGGGACCCGAAGTTTAGGTCATATGGATCTCCGAAGTTTTCGGATTGAGCATCTGAACACTTTAGGTCCAGCTGCTCAGGTTTGGATCACACATCTGAAACTTCAGTTCTTACGTCTGAAGTACTTCAGATGTAAGAACTGAAGTTTCAGATGTGTGATCCGAACCTCGGCAGCTAGATCTTAAGTGTTCAGATGCTCAATCCGAAAACTTCAGAGATCCAAATGACCTAAACTTCGGATCCCACGCACGAGTTTTTTTTCTCCGTGCGCCCCTGGCTATTGCCTGGAAAAAGACCCTGAGAGCCTTTAATTTCCTTTCGCACCTACCTCCTGACTTCATAAGCACACAATGAAGGAGGAAATGAAGTGCAGTGGGCACTCAATTCCCTCCGTCTCAAAAGCGGTAAAAATAGCCGGGAATGAAGTCTAATGGCGTTGGATGCATCAATTCGCCTCCAATTACCGCGGCACGTACATCAATCTTTTGTCAATAATTTCCTCGGCTTCTGGGCTGGAATCTGCACCCGGGAGATCTGCGCCGGATCGGATTCGCGGCAAAGTCCCGCGTGCCGCTCGTCACCAATTCAAAATCCATTACAATTTCCGGCAGCGGCGAGTGTGAACATCTTAATCGCTAACATTCCCCGTTGCCGCGCCGCTCGCCGGGGCCCTCCGCCCCCCGGGAAAACCTCCCGGGTTTCCAGCCATCTGGCAACGCCGCCGTAAGCACAGCTTGATCAATTTCAACAGCGTCGTATCTCTGCGTTGGCGGCCTTCGGCAGTTGCGCGCTTTTTCAAACCTGTCAATGTAGATAGATCGCTTCTGCTTAATGACGTGTTCAATTGAGGCCCTGACGACCGAGTGCTTACCCGTAAGTATACAACGATCAAGAGTGCAATGCAGCTTCGCTGCACTCTATCTTATCCTAGCTTTCATATACACCTTTTTTTCAACTTTATAAGGACTTATGTTTACTTTCTAAAGCGGTGGCGTTTTTTTGACTGAAAATTTAGAGGAAGTAGAGTTGGAATAGGCCGGGTGTACCAGGAGGATGCCAAATTTTTGGAAAATAATGAAAATTAGTTTCCATGCTAATGTCTTGGTGGAACTTAGTAAGTATTTCTATGCAATTGGTTCCTTCCCTGCATTGATTGCACCCACAGGAAATGCGAGGAGGAACCAACTAAGTGCTTGGTTAATTTCTCGGAGTTTATTTGACCTCTTTCAAATTGAGGAGAGGGGAATCAAGGTACTACAAATAAAAAGCAACGATGATTTTTGCAGAAAGTTTGGCTTTCATGGTCAAGAATTAACAAATACAGCTCTTCTAGTTAATTACAATTAAAATTGTTGGTCAAAAATGTTTCTTCTTGAGTAATAAAAGAAACATTTTACAACAAGCAGGCCCCTCTGTTCAACAAACCGATTCCTTTTTGCTAAACTCGATCTAATATTGCACCTATGCGTTAAGTTTTTTTCTTTCAAAAATCAATGTCAAAGCTAAAAAAAAAAATCCTTTTTGCACAAATTATTTGGTGAGAATTTCGGACACTAGTATTCTTTGGCTTTTCTTCAAATAAATAAGTAACACAGGAAATTTTGAATTTTTACAAGATACGTGTTTTGGAACTTTCACCATCGATGTGTATGGGCACAGCGGGATTGCACACTGCACAGCTGTAATACCGCTGAGAACTCAACGCCTGTTATACCGAAGTCCCGACACAGTAATCCATTTCGAAAACTCGGCAAAAACACATCGCGAAAAATTAATTAGCCATATGCTTGATAACTTTTTATTACAGGCCTGCCGACTGTCACTTGTAATCTCGTCGGCGGGTGAAATTTGCATGTGCAGAAAGCCTTGCGCGCGAATTTAGCTGCAATTAAAATTGTCGCCTGCATCTCCGCTTCCGGTTGGATTAATTCGACCGATCGGTTATTTCTGATCCGGAGATTAAAGACGGCTAATTAGCGGCTATTCTCTCTTACTGATCTAACCTTTAGCCCTGCTGCCTACCTACGTCTCTCCGGGACGGGAATAACAGTCTGTTTGCGCCGCGTCGAGATAAATGAATCATGAAAAACCAGCTGTGTCAACACTATAATCACAAGGCAATTTAAAGTCTAAATTTAGAGGATCGAAATGTACGCCTTGATTTTTTGCGGATCCTAATTCGGAGGGGTGCCTTCGGGTCGAAGTTCAAATTATATGATTGCACGAGGAGTGGCCTCTGAGTGCTTTTTTGGGTACGTACCTCAAGAGCAAAGTGACAAAATGACGCACGGACCGTACGCACAACACGCTTCAGATTCAGTGGCGTAGCGTGCTTTGAGATATATCGATTGATCTGCCATTTAAACCTATGAAAAAGGATCGGAAAACAGGGTGCTCGCAACGGAATCCTAATAATCGATTTTTTATCATAGCTTCAAATGGGGAAGTATCGATCATTCACACCTCGCCACTACTGCCTAGATTCTCGATTCACCTCGATGATTTTTCTCGGCTATCATAATTCGTCGCCCTCTGACGCAAGGGCTTATCTCAATTTCTACGTGAGCCCTGTTTCACGTAAATATCCATGATTTCTGGAGCTCATCCGGAAATCGAGATACACCTTTACGCCAGAGGAGCGACGAATTGAGCGCGACTTTCGGAGGATCAAAGAGTACATAGAGTCGTAATGTAAATGGGAGAGCTGGCGCCATGTTCTACTCGACGAGTTCCGAGTCCGATGTGCGCCGAGTTCGAGTCACTTTTTCGATACAAGTTCGATCCAAGATGGCGGTGCGGAATACGTGGTGATTCCTATCTTCTTTGTTTACATCGGATGGCCGAGTACCCGTGTATCGCAAACAATCGATTATGTATCGAAAAAGTGACCCGGCGTCACACAGGAGTCTCGGAATTCGGGACCTGGAAAATGCTTAAAAGTGGCGCCAGCTCACCCTCTTACATTACGACTCTATGTACTCTATGCGGAGGATAGGCGCATAAGTGCAATTTTTAGAAAAAGAATAATATTAATGATTTCTAATAAAATTGGTCTTCAAATACATTCCAAGAAAAATTCACCACTGGGATCCAATTTAACGCATCAAAATGTGAGTTTGAGCATTCTTTCTACCATACGGATTTATGTAATTTTCAAACTTTGAACACGTAATTTCTTGAAATAGCAAGAACCGCACATGGGCCTTGTTCTCCAAACCTCCCAATTGCGATGAACGCTCTTCGACGATTAACGTAAAAGAAAAATGAGAATTAATTTCATTTTAGTGCTTGTTTTGATGAAAGCAAGTTTTAACTTAGTTTAAAGAAATAAAAAATCAGCTTCCCTGAAAATTCTTATCACAGGGGCGAAACATTTCGAGTTTCCAAAAGATTGGTAAAAACATGGAATCTTTGAAAAAGGGGGATATTCTCTACAAATGATGCTTTACGAGGACTTGGAGTATGTAATTCATCCGTTGAAAACGATGAATGGAGATTCTGAACCTCTGCAATCGAGATGCATGGTGTTCTAGTTTTGCTATTCTCCAAGTTTAAGGACAGTAGTGCATGAATGTTTACTCACCTACTAAACTTGTTATCATTGAGAACGTTGAAAAAATACTATAGTCAAGTTCGTCCCAGTTGAACCGGTACCGAGCGAATAAGTAGGACACGTGCATTTCTCCTGAAAAAGATAAAATGGCATACAATTACTAATGCTATGGGTAAGAAAAATTACAGAGATCTTCAAGATCAAAATTGACTTAGGTAATGTAAAAACGAGGAGGATGTATCCACGGAAAAAGTGAAGTTCAAAGTTAAATGGATCGCATTTTGCAACAAGGAATCAGCGCGATTACAGTGTTTTTAAATTCGTGCAACTTCTCCTTTTCTTTTAAAAAATACTTAACATATGTACAGTAGTGAAATTTACTCAATTATTTTCCTTCAAAATTAACAATTTTTTGGTAGAAAGTCAAAACTATTTGCTATTTTGGGAGATTTTTTAGCTACTTATGAATAAGCAAAATTTTTATAACACCGTAATAGCGCTGGTTCCTTTTTGCTAAATCCGATCCGAATGGTCTTCATCCGTTTTAAAGAAATTGCTTAAAATTAGACTTACGCAGCCCCATATAATAGGAGAGAAAGAGCAGAATGTAATATGATTTTCACTAATATATTTACCAGGCTTCATTGTTCTACTTTTGCCATTGCACCTATAAAATCACATACGATTTTTAGACGGGTGATGTTACAGATTTCCTGTCTCATTTCATTTTTTCGATAGACGTATGGTCATAGCTTTTGTTGTGAATCCTGTAAAATTCATCAGGATTGCTCTTTGCTAATGTTGTGCTTAAACGTCAAAATTAGTTTTATCAAAGGAAAAACAAAAAAACAGAGCAAAAATCCAAACAGACGGGGACTCATAACAGTACGTTTGAGGAAATTCTGGATATCATGCTCAGAAACCTAATTTTCCTTTGATTTCGAGGGCCGGCAACTTTATAATACATTTAAATATCGTATTTCTCGAAAAATTGACGATGTCGCGATAAAAATCGGTTGTCATTGGCACAATAGGCAACGCTGGAAATAAATCAAGGTATAAGAGAAACAGTGAAAGCTTCAATTAGTGTCGCATGGGACGGACACTAAACGAATTTCAGTATAACGCCTGGACGCAACTATTCGAGCTCTACGGATACCCGTGTTGCATATGCACGAAATTGAAGGCGTTTTAACTTCAGACACTGACTGCCTCACCAGCGCAGACGCGCAGCAGCACGGCGCTCAGTGAAGCGGGTCACTTAGAAGAGTCTTACAAAATGTGGAAACATTAAAAGCTCATGTCGATGTTAATATGGAGAGGTTTTAGGAGTGATTTCATTTATTCTTTCGCAAAAATGCCCCTTAAGGAGCACTCCATACAATTCGAATATGATTTATCAAAGGAGCACAACTCATTTTCATTGCTTGATATTTTCACAGAATATTCTGCACGACGATATGGAAAATTTGGGAGGTTTTTAAGAGATGACGTTGGGTATTTTCTATTTGTCTAATAAATTATGACAGGTAGTCCGCAGTGTCGCCAACCGAGATACGCGTTTTTGCTTTTTCCACCGTCGATGCGGGATTTCATCCGAAGGAGAGAGACGTTAAATCCGGTGAATTAACTAAATACCGTGGAGGCCTGGCTTCTTCAATCTTGGCAAGTCAAACAAATAAAGGTGATCAGAGGAGTAAATTGCATAATTTTTCAGAAGCTGCCGCCGCGAGAGTATTACAGTATTGAGGGCACCAGAACACTCGGCTAGTCGTGAACTTTGCATTTACCTCAACCTGTACAGGATGCCTTGCGTATTGCCAAGGCCCCGTGGACCTTCTGAGAATATGCAAATTGCCAAGAAATCACTCAAATTTATGTAAAAATGATTTTAACCGATTAATCAAATTTACACCGTACACCAAGAATTCTCATCAACTGAACGTTTTTATACCTGTTAGGCATAGATTACTCCCGTGAAAAGTATGAATACCGTATCTCCTCTCTACATGCTCTCAATTGTTTTCTAAGGAAATGCTGTTTTACGAGAAAGTAACAAATATTCGTCCTCCATTTTTACGAGAGTCGACTCTGACATATCGTAAAGAACTCAAAATGAAAAAATAACGCATTGTGGCGATTAAGTTTTCCTGTAATAGAGCCAAGGGAGCTGGTGGGAGAAAAACACAATATGTGGCATGGAGTTACGGAGTTTTTGCTGTGGACGACGGATTAGCACGCTGATAAATTCTTGCAAGAAAACCGAATCACAGCAAAACTTCTGCACTGGAAAAAAAGACGCTTGGATCTAGAGTCCAGACTCTTGCTAACACGAACAAGAAAAAATACTCTTAAATCAATTGGAATGTTTCTTGAATCGAAGAGCCAAGCCTCTTGATTTAAACAGATTTCCTTTCGATTCAAGCAAAAGTCCGATTTAATCAAGAGTATTTTTTCTTGTCAATGTTTTTAAGAGTCTGGACTCTAGATCCAAGCTACTTTTTTTTTCCAGTGTGACCAATAATGAAAATTAGATTTTAACCTGAAACCTATCACGTGAAATAGCTCTTAGATGGCCTTGAGCACATAGATAATGTTTTTCTTTTAATATTTATATGACCGCACTAAACTATGTCCAAGCGGAAACGGAACAGTTATTTAGGTCATATCTACACTCCGCAAATGGGATTTAAAACACGAAAAAGGTTATAAGTAAGTAATATTTATACGAAAAGTAATATTTCTGGTTCATCCATTAAAACACTCATCTGCATTGGGGAACTAATGAAGCATGCGTTGTTTCTAAAATAGGTCAGAAATTGACCGCTTTTAGCAGACAGAAATCAAGCCACATCAGATATTTCCAAATTTAACTGGTGAAAAAATTTTACAAGAGACAGTTTGAACGGATTCCTTTGAAAATATTAAGGAGTTTGCTTCGTACTTTGCAAAAAAATTCACTTGACTTTGCACAAAAATCCGCTCAAACGTTTTAGTGTCAAAAATTAAATTGCCCAATTAAATTTGGCAACAGCTGATGTGGCTTGGTTCCTACCTGCTTAACGCGGTCTAAATACTCGTCCCTCGTCGCAAAATTAGTCCAGATGTTGGAGGGGTGGCTCCGGACAAATATTATCATCCCTAACGCGTATCTTCGGTTATACGAATTTGTGATCGGTGGCGATGGATGGACAACACTGCCGTGCTAACGAAGAACGCCGTGTGAATGTTCAGGAGTTGCCAAAATTCCCGTGATAAAACATGTATTTTTGACGCAATTTAAACATATTTTCCCTGGAAATTTTTAGATATTTTAGATTAAATTGCGTACAAAATTGTCTGTAAATTTTGGAAAAAAATATTTACAATTTTCCTAGCAAATTTGGTTTTTATCGAAGGAAATTCGGCAACGTCTGAAGGCTCATATGGCGTTCTTCCTTAGCACGGCAAAACAGTCCGCGATGAAAGCATGCCTCATACGAAACTAGCTCAGCCTTGACCTGAAATGAGATAGGTTTTATATGTACCTAGTACGCGTGCCGCGTTTCATTTTCTTCTGTAATCTTTATGGACTTGAAACTCAAGCTTTCAGTCCTTACACGAAGCTGGGAAAAATGGTCAGGAAATTTTTAGGAGGCTTAGGGTTGCCATGATTTCTGCCTTTGAATCCCCGCAAAAAGTAGCAACCCTGCTAACATATTTGCGTGTCATCCGTGTATTGAGAGTTTGAATGTATATCGACGGTGAAACTACTAGATCACGTATCTTGTTTGCAGGGCCGGATTTAGGGGGTGGCCACATGAGCCGCGGCCCATGGCGGCAAATTTAGGGGGCGGCAAACTATGCAATTTTTTTAAATGTAGGTATATAAAAAAATCAGATTCACAAAAAAAAATTACAACCAAGAAATGGCGACAAAATATCTCATTTCCTGAGAATATATAAGTTCTAATTTCGTCGTCTTTCGGTGATACAAAAGACTGCGCACCTTTAATTCGTCAAGTTAAGAGAGAAACCAAACACGCAATTTAGCCTGGAGCGGCGCGGCGCAGAGAGCAATGATGACGAGAACTTGAGATGAAAAGGAGAAGCTCTCAGCGCAGCGGTCGGCATGTAACACATATTAGCGCCTACAAGAGTACATGAATACTTCACGCACTGCGTCAAACACAGTGCGGTCAACAGCGGTCTGCAAGAAACGCATAGCGCCTACAAGAGTGCATGAATATTTCACGCATTGCGCCAAACACAGTGCGGTCAGCGTGGCGCGGTGGCGGAAGTTAAAATTATTAAACCACATTTATGTTTGTTCTTTCATAATTTTTTCGTTCATTTCTTACAAATGGATGGCCTTGTCCACACAGAGATGGGTTTACGGAACTGAACTTTCGCGCAAAGTTCAGTGAACTTTTGCCAGTAGTGTTGACAGGGCTTTCGCAAAAAATGTGTCCAACACGAGTGAACGCGTCTTATGCACCCCTCCTCCACCGGCACGTTCACGTGATGGTTTTTTTGAATGTTTCAAAACGAATGAGAAAGGGGCGGCAAAATACAGGCGGCCCATGGGCGGCAAGTAGGTAAATCCGTCCCTGCTCGTTTGCGGTGTTTAAAAATCTCCGCTCCCATTTGATTTTCTTGGAGGAGAACAAAACAGCATTATTCCTTGAAGTTTTCATAGGGTGTTCTTCGCACAGAGAAGAAAATCACGGGAGTTGTTAAGAATGGCTGAGTTGCGCTGATCACAGAATCGTGTTTCGATGCTTTTTTCTTGCAGATCAACTAAAAATATTAAGACCTATCCCAAACGGCAACTTTCTACGTTGAATATTTACCGAGATATCGCGCCTTGAAAAACTCGATTTAATTGACGTCATCTACCGCGGTAGTACATACCATGTAATGCACTACCGCGGTGGATGACGTCAAAAACCCGACTTTTCAAAAGACGATATCTCAGTTAATATTCAACGTAGAAAGTTGCTGTTTCGACAGATCTTACTTTTAGCTGATCTGCAAGAATCAAGCATCAAAATACAATTCTGTAACCAGCGCAACCGGCCCATTTTAATTGAGTAGCTTTCAATTTAAAAAATAAAATATGGAAGGAAGTCTGCAACGTCGCAAACCGAGAT